AGGGAAAGCACAAGGAGTGACCTGAGTATGTCAGAAATGGGGAAAGCACTTCAGGGTTGCATCTACCTGCCACTATGTGGACAGGCCAAAATTCACAGCACAGGACCCAAACTAGTGGTTCCTGCCAGGCAGCAATAATGTCACCTGCCCATGAGACAGCAGGAAACACAGACCAAACCAGCCCCGGGACAGGTGGGAGAAGGTACGCCCCTGGGTGCGCTTGTCCTCCTCCCCTGCGCTGGGCTTGGCAGCAGTGCTCCATGGTCCCGGTCATCCATCACCCGGCTCGTTCCAGGGAGAGCCGCCAACGAGAACAAAAACAACAACAAGCCCTTTGCGCAGTGGATGTAGGATTAAAGTTAAGCTCTGGCTTTGGACAGAAGTAAACAGCAGAGCTCTGTGGGGAAGTGGGAATGAGATGCTGGTCAGCTGCTTCTGTTTGCCAAGTCCTGCTAAATCCCGGCGTTGTCCTCAGCCTCAAAACATTCACCAGCCCTTCAGCAGGCCATGAGGGGCTGGAGGACAGGCTGGCGCCCTGCGCCCAGGGGGCCTGTGTAGACAATAGTCCTAGTTAAGATTTCCTTACAGCCCTGGAGGGTGAAAGACCAGGGCACTGGGTTCACTGGGAAGGCTTACCTTGGCATTAGTGCCAAATCCTCCCAAAGGAAAATGGAAGTGCTCAGAAGTGAGAGTGAACAGCTGGACAAAATCCAGGGGGCCAGGCAAGGAAGGGTCATATCCCTGAAGCCTTTCTGGAGAAAGGCAAGCATAAGCGAGCTTTGAGTCCAGCTTTTGATCTGGTGCGTGCTTCCTTGCACGCTTGCTGCCAGCAGGTTTCTGGGCTGTTCAGCTTCACAGCAGGCATCAGATTGCAGAAGTGACTTTGATTCTGCCATCATTTTTGTTCCAGTGAAACTTTTTTTTATATCCCCCTTGCAAGGTGGCTGCTTTGAGTAAAGAAAGTATATTTAAATATAGTACCTCCTGATAGAGAAGTGGGGGCTTCTCTTTGAAGATGCACTAGAAATAATCTGCTTTCTCACTCTCTGAGAATTGTATTGTTGCGATGCGCCATCATGTCGGAAAGAGGTTGTTTTATTATGGGCTCTTTTAGCAGTGTCTTTGAAAGAGTTGCAGGCAGTTATTGGGATCTTGAACCATAATGAGTTGAAAGGCAACAAAGTGGAGTGGGTCGTTGCTGTTCAGCACACTTGAAGCTGTCAGCTCGCTGGCCAGCCGTGGAGGTCAGAGGTGGTGCCTCGGAGGGCTCCTGCGGTTCAGGCACCTCTTCAACCCCCCAGGAGTTCACTGGCCAGACCATGTTTCCCACAGTGTCGCACAGCCAAAGGCTCCCGTGATGGGTCATAGCGATTTGGTACTGCATAAAGTCATGGTGCCTTTTGGGAAATGCCAGGGAACCCAGGTCAGGAAGGAGGCACTTCGGGCACAAGATGCCAAAGTGCAGCTTCTGGGAGGTGCTGCCGCAGCACAGTGGGGATGCGCAGCATTTCCTGTATCAGGAAAAGTCTGTTTGGAGGCAAGAAAATGCCCTAAGTAATCAGTTTAGTTAAAAGCTCAGTTTTCTGCCACAGCAGAGGTCAAAGAACCCTTTTTGATCCTCCACTGAAGGTATCCTGCTTTGACTGCTCCTGGGACTTGCATCTCCTTCAGACTGGAAGCTCATTTGTGTGCAGTGGTACATCCCACCGAGATGGGGGCTGAGGTCCTTCATGCAGGCAGCGTTAGTTTCCTTTCCCCAATAGGAGCAGAGTAAAGCAGCAGGGAACAGCAGTACCAGGATGGTCTCTGTTGCTCTGTGAGTGAGCATGGGAGATCCCTGACAGCGGGAACTGGAGGGGGAGTTTCACAAGGGCTCTTTGGTCGGTCTGATCTGCCAGAGGAAGGCTCCGCATGTGTGCGTGAGAAGAGTGAGCGTGACCAGCAGTTTATCTGTAAGATCTCCAGGACATTTGTCTTCCCCGCGCAGCCCCTCTGGCTCCTTGCTGCCAGCGAGAGCTGCTATCACTGTAAATAAAGCAATTGGGTCGCCCCTAGCTTGTCTGGGTTGTTGCTGCTGAGGCCGCTCTTTGCTTGTGTGCTGTTACGCAGAGGAGCGTTGTGCTTCTCGTCGGAGCTTTTCAAGGAACTCAGAGGGTTGGAAGCAGGAGAGGGGAGAGAGCTGTGAAGTGTTTTGTATTTCTCTAATGCTGCAGGACAGTTATGTGAGCACTTCAGTCTTGATTAA